CCAGCGCGAATGTACCCTCAAGCTGTTGTTTCCATCCTTGGCCGAATGATGACAGAGGGAAGGTCAACCAAGCCTCGAGATCCATGGCAACATTTTCTCTTGAAGTCTCAGCTGAGTCTTGAGCTTATTGCTTGAGCGTATTGCTGAGTTGAAGTCACCACGCGAATGCATCCTCCCAGAAGCCTGGGTGTTCAAGTGTGTGTGTGTGTGTGTGTTGCAATGCTAAAGAATGGGGTCATTCAGCATGCCGTAAACCGGGAAAAGTATGAGCTCGCGGCATCAGGAAGCCCAGGGACGGGGATTTTGTTCGGGGTTGTGGGCTCGCAGCTCAGACTCCTGGAGCCAATGGCCTGAGGGTCAGCGCGGCAGAAAGAAAGAAGAGGGAAGTGATGGATATTTGGCCTCAGACTAGCATAGCCATGGCCACTTGTCCAGCAACGAAAGATGTGAAAGATGAGGCTCAGCTGTCTGGTTGGTCCAAAGAGGACCAAAGACCGCTCGCAGACTTGTAGGATCTTGCGGACTTGCGGGTGTCGCAGGCTGCATTTCGAGCTTTGCAGACGTTGTGCTGCTTGCTACGCCGCCAAGCTGCTTTGCATGTCGCGAAAGCATGAGTAACAACCTTCGCAGCTCTGCAGCCGCAGTGCGGCATTCGTGGCTGCTTTGCCAGGACACAATGGGCAAACGCTTAGTCGACAATTTCGTCTTGAAGGAGGATCAAGAGGCCAGTGCCTGAGACCTGCCGCTTTTGCATCAGTGAAGCGTGAGAAGCATTTCGCAGTCTGTTTCACAAGCCGTTCTTCTCGGCTTGGCATGTGGGTCACTTAGATTGAGGCCCAGGCAGGGTCCAGGCTGCTGCGCTCGTCCAGCAGTAAGCCAGGGTCGGCCTAGGGCTGGCGTAGGCCAGGGGTAGGACGAAACGAGGCTTGGCCTAGAATGCGGAGGTGAAACAGGATCAAGCCCAGGGTGGGGCAGGCCTAGCAGTCAGAGACCTGGATGCAAAAGGCCGAGCGACATAGCAAAGGTCGAGCGATAGTGCAAACGTAAAACAAAGCCTTAAACTCCTGTGTTTGCCATTCGGTTTTTGTGCATGCATCCGGTGTGTGAGTGGTGGGAAACTCGTGCGCGTCACCTTGCAATTTTCAGTCGTTTCGACATATGCAGCGTGGCTTAGCTTTCATATCACGTGAACTTCTTTGCAGCTACGCAATTCAGTTCAAGTGCCTTGACTATTTTGGGCTTTCCCCAAAAAATCCAAATTAACCAACACATGCGTGTATTTGCCTGTTCTTCAGGGTTTGTGTTCATTATGATTTATGGGTTTCCCCAGAGCTCCCAAAAGCATCCAATCGGGTTTGGTGAGTTGTGGCTTGATTTTCGGGTTTGGAAGAGCACCAAATCGCAAATTTAGGTGATTTGATTAAGTTTTAGCTTCCCAAAAGTAGCCGTAGCTAAGACGTGGCATTTTGGCTTTTGACTTTTGTCGGGCTTGGGGAAGCTCCTAAATCTCCCCAAAGCACACCCAAGGAGCCAACACAACTCTAGTTTGTGCTTATCTGTCGGCCAAACAAGTGGTGTTTTGACAATCTTCAGCTTTCCCACAGCGCACAGAATTACCCAAACGTAGGAACGTTAAGTTGCAAGTTCGAATGAACCGGTTTCTGACCGCGTGTTGGAAACCCAAACCCTGCCCCTGGACCTCCCCTAAAAATCTGGCAGCAAGCGACAAGCTTTACAGTTTTTTTGCTTTTCGGACGCGCAAAAATGAAGCTGACAAAGACCAGAACGGGTTTGCACCTGGCCTTTCCTGTTTTCGTTTGCATTTGTTGCCTCTAAGATGACAAAAGCCCAAACATACGGTTTTTCCCTTTGTTGGCCAGACGAAGAGGAGGATTAGGGAGTCACGTAAGGACAGTTTCTCCATGTTTCTCCTCTGCCTGTAATTCGCTTTGAGCCTGGCCCTTCCCTGACCTTTAGATTCACGAAAACTTTTGGCCAGACGGGAGGCTTAGGGACGGGGTTTGGGGGTTTGGAGATGGGGTTTGGCACTGGCCGCTAGCCACCAAGCCTACTGTCGTGATTCTGTCCCGCTGCCCGAGACCCTAGGCCTGCCTAGACACCGGTAGGCCTACTCCTACTGTAGTCGATGCCGCAGGGCACATCAGAGACATGACGATTGTTTTACTTGAGTTTCCAGCATGGTGTGCTCACTGCGACATGGTCGCTGTGTGTGTCTGTGTGTGTATTCCCACTTCATTCACTCAACAGGGTTTCTTGGAAAGGGGCTGATTGTGTTTCCGGCTGGCCTTGATTCAGCTTTGAGGTCTCATGCCATGTCCTGGCTTCCAGCCTGCGCTTTCGTTCGTTTGATCCCAAACGGACATCGCCGACCTTGGAAACTGACCCGAAGAAGACATACCCGTCCTATCACTGTGAATGGTCGAACTGCAAGCCATGTTCGCGCTGAAGACAGACCCCGCAGCAACCCTGACTTGCTGAAGTTCTGGGAAGTGCGCTCAAACGACGAGTTCCAACCATTGCCCGTAACTGCTGCATACAAAAAAACTCGGGGTAGCAACACTGGCGATACCCGAATCCTGGATTCACCCTGGTAGTGCCAAGGATGTTGCTGACATGCTCCATCGGGCGCTCAATGGTGAGAAGGCGCCTTAAAGATGCGAAAGGTTCAACAAGCAGGTGCAAAGGTAGTTGATTTCAGCTGCCACTGCCTCGCCAGTTTGACTGAGATGAGATGCTCCAAGCCTCAAACATTAAATCCCGTGTGCTCTTGCCCTCGGATCTTTGATTGAGATGCCGTGGAGGTGGAAAACTTCAAGTTTTGCATCGAAGATCAGGCCAGGACGGCCAGGTGTTCAACGCAAGGCGTGTTGGCCAGTCTCAGGGTGAGAAAGGCAGTGTCTGGCTTCGTGCCTCGCGAGGCTTGTGACTTGTGCAAATTTCGGTGCTGCTGGGGTCCGCATTGAGATAATCTGCCTGCTATACTTGTGCTTAGATTCTGCCGGGGCCATGGGAGAGCCCATGACTGCAGCCGCACTTAGCGTGGGCATAAGTGCGCAGAGCGAGACCTCCGAAAGAGTTCGCAAGAATTTGGATTCGAGATGATGTCGCACACTTGTCCCAAGAAGGAACCAGCCCGTGGAATTAGCATGAACTAAATTAGCAGTTTACCAGCCTTCATCAATTGAAGCCTCGGAGGACTTGCAAAGTCTGCTATACACCGGCCCGCAGGAAGGTTCCAGACGCACGGTGCGCCTGAACGCATCTGCCCGGCTAGGAGAGCAGGGGGAGGCCGGGCGCCGGACCTGTGCAACCGGAGCTACGCATGGAGTTCCAAGAGCAGCCGGGGGGGGGGGGGGGGGGGAAGCGGGAAGCTCTTGTTTGGTTTCTTGGCCTGTGCAGGTCACCGGCGTTCTTTGCGTGGGCCAGGACGTGACAGAGTTGAATCGAGCGCGGGACCCTGCAGAGACACAGCTTTCATCTTTAGCGCCTCAGTCAAGGCTGAATCGTATTGTTCATAATTCATACGTGTAAAGTTCGAAGAGCATCTTGAAGATGGGATGTCGAGGTCATGGCTGAGCAACTAGGCATCGCGGAGGACGGTGGCATGTCCAGCCGCAGCCGGAAGCTTCGCCACAGGCTTTCGAATCAGAGTGTTTCTCCGTGGCTCCAGACTGGCAGAGGATCTGGCTCGGTTTGTGGAGACTGCCAATGCGCCAATCTTTGGAGCACCTTGCCTGAGCCAGACTGGAACGGTGCCCAGAGTGCGCTCCCGACGTCTGTTCTTCGTAGAGTCCTGCGCTGAGGTCTCTCTTCAGGGGCATGCCCAGGCCTGAGTTTTCTCTCCGAGCCTGCACTTCTCGAGCTGTGTGACGGACCTTCGTGCCAAGTCGATCGCAGCTTGCAGCATGGGCTCCCAGCACACCCAGACTCAGACCCCATATTGACGTGACCACATGAAAGCACCCAACAAGCCTGAGCTGCAGCCCAATGCCAACCCACTGACTCAAACTAACTCAACCCACCAAGAGCCCTGAGCCCACGCCACAAATCGAAGACAGAGCCTCCTTCTTGACATGTGGGCCATGCTGGCCTGGGGCCTGCTCGGAGCGATTCCTTGCCCGATCTGGGCCATCGAGCGCCTCAGCCTCCACAGCAGAAAGGGGAGAAGCGGAACTCTAGATCCGCAGGCTCCGCATTCTTGCATCCTAGTCTGTGATCCTGCTAGTTGTCCTTCTCAGTGATGAGGCATGGGAGGCCCTTGAGAGTTTCAGAGACCCTGCAATGCTTGTCGCCACAGAGCGCTGCACTCGACAAGGGCATGCAAGGTGCACAGTTGGTCGCACGTGTCTCCATAGCTTACGGGGTAGGGTTGAGCGTCCTTGTTTGAGACAGAGGAGCATTTGTCAGTACAGAGAACAAGAAGAAACGGCGCGTGAACAGCAACTAGTACAGTTTGGGTTGGAAGTACGGATGTTTTGTAGCGAGATCTGGCGAGCAGTGCATGGTGGCTACGGCTAAGGACTGGGGAAATTTTCTCCGAACTGCAATCCTATGTGAGAGATCCCATCGCCCGGCACACTGCCTGTGCGGTGGATGCAGATACGCCGACAGCACTTCGTCACGAAGATGTCGGCAAATCCGCAGTCTGCCCAGAGTGTCTTTACAATAGCCTTGCTGCTAAGGTCTGCGTACTGGAGGGCTTCGTAGGCGGAACCACTGATCTTGAGACACGCGGCTGCATCCCAGAGCAAGGCATTCCGGGCAACGCCCTGGGTTCGTTTTGCGGACATTGACCGAGTTACTATATCCTGACGCTTCCAGAAGAGGGCCTGTGGCAATCTCAGCTTGCGTTTGAAAGACTGATGGTCAGGCGATCGTTCCGTGGTCCATGGTCTTCGTAGCAGTCTGAGGCTTTACGAAACCTCCCCGAACTTTCGCAGCTTCGGCTCCGAGCCCCTGCAGGCGAAGACTCGTCTCGGTTTGCCATGCTCTCTCACTTGCTCGCCACTGACATCCACTGTAGGCGCCCGACCCCATCGGTCCGCATCTGCTGCCCTTTCTGGTGACAGATCCGAAGCACCAGGTGGGAGACAACGAAAGTGGTTCCGGAAATCCTTGCCACTAGTATGAAACGACTGCACAACACGGAGCCCTGGCCTCTCAAAGCGGGCCGAGCTTGACGTTCGCATTGAAATCTGGCGGACGTCTGCACATGCCCATCCGGGATATTCGTTCAGGTAGTCTATGTCCCTCCTCCAAACAAATGGCCCACTCCGAATGCTTGGACAACGTGCCTTTCTTGCACTGGCCGAGTGTTCTGCCAACACGAAGGACTACTTTGCATAATTTCTGGGGCTTCATTTTCTCTTCTGCAGGCCTTGCTTCCAAAGACAGCCTAAAACATACAATTTCGCAGCTGCTGGCACGATATGACCGAGGTTCACATACGTCGTGAGGTCGCTTATTGGACTTAGTGAAGGCGTGGTTCTGGAAGATGTCATGTGGACAGTTGCTATGGGGATGCTGCTGTGCGACGAGATCTAAACATAACAGATCGCCTCAGCCAGCCTGCATCCCTGATCGGCAGATGGCGAAACCATTATCGATGTCCAATCTGAACCAGGTCTCGTTGTACTAGCCACAGCCCCGGAACAAGCCGTGAATGCTTGATGCAGTGGCCTTGCTGCCTCAGGTTAACCCTCATCGGCAAATTGCCGGCTCTGACTTTAACCTAGCTGTGGCCTTACAAGTCCAGCTAACGGTAGTGGCTCTGAAATCCTTCACTGGCTCAGGCAGATGGAGCGGATGGTTGGACAGTATCCGGTCAACTGGAAGTTGTAGGAGGCTGGGGAAGCATTCGGTTGGCTGTCGAAATTGCTGTTTCTCCCTCCGAGGAAGTGTGTGTCGAAGTGCAAGTGAACACTGCTGGCCACAGGCAACACGCCCAGTGCTGGGGTGAGGCACCAAGCTGTTTCATGGGGTGGCCTGAACCACTACATTTATGGCAGCTCGGCATTGTCAAGAGTTTAGAAAGCGTCAACTTACGGAGGTAGGAGGGGACCATCCCATCCCGTGAGTGGGAGCCAAGGTGCCGACGAAGTCCAGAGCCTGGACTTCGCCACCGGCATTGATTTAGCCAAGTGGTACTTCGAAGCGTCCCCGAGTGTTTATCACAAGAAGGAGCCACCTGTCCGCTCGCGATCGGTTGTGTTATCAACCCATGTTGGTCGTTCTGTGTCTCGCACACGATCCGACAACATGTCCTGGGCTTGGTATGACATGGCAGGAGATGGCAGTGGCATACGGGGGAACTTTGCGCTTCCGGGTGCGTGCGCAGTATGGCGAGTTCCTCGAGTTGACGCTGGCCGAGCACAACCCGAAGCAAACTCACATAGTCACATACAAGCAAGTCCAAGCAATCGTGGCAGAGCTGGTGCAGGTGGTTGGTGGTCGTGGGGATTTGCGGTGATGGTTTGTAGGAGATGGTGGTGTGATGGGTAGTGGTAGAGTTGTAGTGGCAGTGCTGAGGGTGTTTTTGGCGGTTGCGTGGCGGTGGTGGTGACGAGCATGATAACGATCGCGGCAACGATGACGATGAGGCTGCGATAGTGTCCATAGCCACGGGTCGCTAGGTCTCCAGTGATGGCTGGATCCCGAGTGATATCTGAGGAACGCTCCGCTGGACTGGGTGACAATCGAGTGTGAGCTTGCGCCCTCAGAGGTTAAGATTGTGCGTGTGTTTAAGATTGCTTAAGAACCCGACATGCGCGATGCTCATGTGTGAGTCAGCAAACCCAAAACTACTGTAGAAGACCAAAAGTTGAAAGCCCAATAGCCTCAATCCTGAAGAGTAAAGGGCAGGGAATCCAAGCACTAATTGTCCTTATTCCGGTTTCCAACGTTTTGGGGCTTACTATATTCTGTTCAAGCGAATGCAGCTGGTGCGTCATCCGCCTGTCACCTCCAAAGAGCATCCAATCACATGCCCGTGACGCCGTGTGCCAGAAAAGCCAAGATTCCGCTGAGCTGGGCGCTGAGCATGATATCTGTCTGCAGGTCGTGCGACACAGGCCACGGGGCTCGCATCATTCGTGGCCTGGATCGCAAACCAAGAGGTCTCTGAACGGAACCGTGTCGCGGCATGTAGCATCTGCGGCAGTACTTAGGGGCATTGAAACAAGACGGTTTGTCTTCTGATATCGGCTTTGATGGAAGGTTTCGTCGACGATACCCTGCGCTGGATCGGGAACGAAGTCTACATGGAGTTTCTGCTGAATGAAAACGGAAGGCTGGTGGTGCACGCACATGACTTACTGGGCCCGATGTGGCAGTCAGGTGTTCTAGCTCCGCCCAGCAACCAGGAGCAACTGTGGAGCAAGGTTTGAGACATCCGCTGCCTCCAGGTGGTCCTACGACCCCTTGAATTCTGCTGCAGACTTCCAGTATGCGACATCATGCCAGATCGCGGCCATATTGACGCTGGACCAATCCATGAGCAAGATTCGATTCTGCATGGCAACACAGCATGACACACCGTGCAATCTCAGAGCACTTGCTTCTGAGAACTCAGGACAAATGTTTCGAGAATTGCGATCCTTGGCGATTTCACTCGAGGCACCCTGTCGTGGAAAAGCTCGATTGCATCTTTTTGCTGCCTTTGTCTCTCATTCCCTTCTTGCCTACTGGTTGGTCAAATGGGATACCACAGACTTGCCAAAATGGAGTGCCAGAACATGGCCATTCCGGGTCTCCGAGATTCAGGTGGCGAGGGCATCGCCTTGGACGACGTGGCCGTTGTGGCTGCAGATGCTTCGGAGCTACTTGGCGCCTCAAGCCTCTGAACCGTCTGATTCATGTGCTTATGAACGTGACGAGCATGCACAAAAGGAAGCAGTTGCACACTTCTGCCCTGGATGGCAGGCAGCCAGCCTACCCACTCGCTTGCCAGCAGGCAAAGAAGTTTGCATCAGAACCTCAGTGGGTTTGTGCACAGTTAGCACCGGGGCCTTCTTCCGAAATTGGTACAACATCCAGCATCTCTCTGCCCGTAGACAGGGCTGCGAAAATCCCGCAACGAAACATTGCCACTTTGATAGAGAAGCAATTAAGCAGAAAAAGCTGTGTTTGGGGCCATGTATGACATAGGGCCTGAGCGCCCCCTCCTTCCCCCCAAGCAGTGGGCTCCACCACACGGTAGGGTCTGTGTGTGTTCCAGGATCATGCTGTAAAATTGTCTTTGTGTGGGCCGTTTTCCCCCCATGACAAATTGAGCATGTAGTGACAGGACATCCATTCGAAGGCAAAACACGACTCACGAACTCCTTCGTGCCGGCAGGGCTGCATTTGCCGCCACAACGCCGCGCTGATCCATCCCACGTGCTGTTAAGCAGCCTCGTCACAAGAGGCCATCAAATGTCATCCGCTGGATCTCGCAGTACTGGCTGCATCGACTTCGAACAGGCGTCATGCACAATGCGCCGTCGATGTGTGACAGGTTTCGAGCCTTCCTCCTCTGCATCCAGAACTGGATGCCATCCTGGCGAAGTCTTCAGAAGTGAGATGGCTCGGATGTTGGAGCAGGTAGCCAGCAGGCCTAGCGGCGGCCTGCCGTGCCCCATCTGCGCACGGAAAAGGGCTGACCTCATTGCATGTTGCAGACAGCATCAGGCAGCAACAGTGCAACACAGCACATGCACATTCCTATACGCAGTGGCCGTGTGGCATCAGCCAGCTATCCGACCAAGGTCGTGGAATGGAATCGCAAAGCTGCATCGCTGTCTGGCTTTGCCAAGGTCGTGCTTCTTGCTGCTGTGCGTATTGCCGCAGTCACAGCTGTCACGAAACCAGCCTCAAACTTGTTGGAGCTAGCGGTTGTTGACATGCTGGGAAGTAGCCTTCGTGCGGCCATCAAGCCTCAAAGACAAGGCACTTGCACAATGCTTCATCTTCGCGTCGCGGACATGCACGGACTGTAGATGCGAGTGGCAAGCGAGCTAGATGCCCAGCAGCTTTAGGTTGACCACCGGGTCTCTTCTTTGGGCGACCCCCTGCCGTCTTGCCCTTGCATGGTGCACGAAGCACTTTACGATGCGGCTCGAGTCAGCCTCACTACGCCATTCTACACATCACCAGCACCATCCTGTGGCAGGGTTCCGGAAGCCATGGCTGGGGAAGCGGAACTTGAAGAGGCCGCAGATGGCCTCAGCAAGCAACAGAACACCGCGATTTCAGAAGCCAGCCAGTGCCAGGTGGATGTGAATGAGAAGGACTTGTACAAAATCCTTGGGGCAGCTAGGATCTGCAGGAAGGTTTGCTAGGCTTCTGGACACTCTCCGAAGAAGAACCCGGAGGATGGCTGTACACTCTGCCAAGGTCTCGAAAGGGGCCAAAGCAGACGAGCAACCTGGCAATAAGCGCTTGCATGTCTGCCAGCGTGCAGCTTGCATGACGATTACCGAACTAAGGCTCAAGAAAGCTTATCGACAAAAATCGTTGAAGTACCATCCCGACAAGAACCCGTCGCCAGACGCGAAGATCAGGTTTCAGAGAATAGCGGAAGCGTACTCAGTCTTGTCCGATGACAAGAAACGCCTGAAGTATGACAAGTCTGGCGACATGGATTTGGAGGACTTCGACATGGATCAGTTTTTGAACATGTGGGTGGGTGAGATGATGGAAGATGGGGGCATAGTGGACGACATGATGCAGTCTGTGTTGCCATGGAGTGACGACCACGAAAAGATGCAGCAATTCATGGAGGAGCCGCTCATATGCTTTCAGAAAGACAGGTCTGGCCACTGGTCCTTGGCTCGTCCTGCAGCAAGCACGCCTCGGTGCACTAAGGAATATCGTCTCCGTGGGTGGGAAGCTTCAGTGTCAGATTTGTGGACACACTGGCTCCAACAAGCGGCTGATGATGATCCACTTCGAGCGGAAGCACCTCCACGACTGCGAGGAGTGGGCGAAGGAAACCATCAAAAGCATGAGCCCTGAAAGCTTCAGCTCATTTTTTGCAGTTCAAGCCGCCATATGAGTCAAGATACTTGGGAGTTGAGACAAGCCGACCTTCGCGACAAGGAAGAACTCGTTTGAGTCCTTCATGAAGCAAGTCACTGGCATTGGCGACCCTTCTGGGGAGTTCCTACTGCCCGACGGCACCAAAGCAGACGTGTCGAAGGCACTTGGGAGATCGCGGTCCTAGGACTTTTGCAATCAGCGAGAACTCAACCTCCTACTACTTGTATGCTTTTTTAGGCTGAGTGCTCCTCCTTCAGCAGCTGCAGTTGCACTTTTGTGTGTAGTTTGAGATTAAGAACGAATAAGAGCGTGTAGCTCCAGATTCTGCTGGCACCCGCTGGGTCTTCTTAAGGGCCTCTCTGAGTGGCGGCCTGTCGAGTTGGCGCCAAAATCCCTTGTAGGGCTGTGTGTGGTGTTCTGCCCCTAGTAACTAGTATCCTGTCTGCGAGGTACCAGTCCCAGACATACGAGCCCACATGCAAAAGCGGGTGGACAAGGCAAAGGCATCCTGGAATGCATCGGCTTTTCAGGCTTGTCCGGTGATACTCATTTGCCGCAGTCAGCCGCCCCCTACTTGCTTTCGACCATCGCGATTGATCCCATGAAACTGTTCGTTTAGCATCTCAGGTGTTGGACGAGGTGCTCGAGACGCAACCATCCAGCAAAACAGAGCTGTACAGAAACACTGGTTCCGGGCTTTTAGGGCCTTGTCGTGCAGATCTTAACTTGGTCGGTAGTACTGGTCGTGTTTTCGACGAGATGAACAATTAACACGGGGGTGTGCGAGATGGGCCTGCAGTCCAAGACTAGTGCCACGAAATTGGAATCTGCTTTGCATGCCCAGCTCTGGTAGCGGTCATCGACGTACGACCTGACAGCATTGCAAGCGAAGCAGTTGAGCACACAAGGATGCAGTGAAAGCAGACTTCGACACTGCGGTTTTGCACCGAGTGCTAAGCCTAATGGGCCTAATGTGCACTGCTATCATCAGACGCAGTTTTGAAGGTATCGTATCGTGGCTGGTTCCGATCTCGCCGGCAATGACGGACCTGTCGCTGCTGAGGTGCGGACGAATTGGAGTGCCACATGCTGTCAGGGTTTGAAATTTATTTCGATACATTTCGATAGTGGCAGCATGGATAGTGTAGGAGAGCAGGTCGTTGCTACGGGGCGGTGCACGCTGATGCTCATGCTTTGCTTGGCTATCTTGAGCAGCACAAGGAGCAAAGCGAAGTCAAGCGGCCAACTGCTTTGCCAGAGCCGAAGAAGCTCTCGGATATTCTGGGAGTTCCCCTGGAGGAGGCAGAGGCATTGAGAGAAGATAAGCCACGGCTTCTGCGCCGCTTGCAGAGACGTATTGAGGAGTTGAACGAGGCCGGCACCAGCCCAACGAGTTTCTGTCACAGCTCCTCCATGAGTGCTGTGTCCCGCGCAGGAGGAAGATGAAGCGGAGGTGGACCGTGAGTCACATACATACTCTTCAAGTCTTGGCTTCATCGGGGCAAGACTTTCGATGCCGGGCAGGACCTACTGCAACCCATGGGCGGATTCCCAGAAGGCCGCATGGGTCTTTATTGTCGCCACCATTGAAAAAGGAAAATGACGCAGTACCAGGCATGGGTTTCGGCTTGGACGGCCTGGATGGGCTGGAGGCTCTCGTGACTAGCTCGGTCTGCGTTGCCTGTAGCTCTGCAGTTCTTACTGTCGTACATTTCCGCGATACGATGAATTGAAAACTTGAAACCTGCTTGTCCGCGTGTGATATATAAGTTCAGGCGAGTCTGCACGATCCAGTAGCCATTGCACCGAAGAAGTTCAGACATGCGCACACCCGCACCGGCCCGGGCCGGCGGCCCCCGCCTGCCTGCCTCCTCGCCCCACGCCTTGCCAACCGTGCCGCGCGCCCGCCTGCGCCGCCGCTCAGTCCAAGGCATGCACGGAGCAAAATGGTAGGGAAGATGCGTTGTGTGTTAGGTCCTGCCCCTTGTGATGCGATGACGTAAAGGCGTTGGGGCAAGTCGAGGTCGCGGGGCGCCTGCATGTCCCCCGTTTGTCCACGAGGGCAGGGGCAAGATGCAGGTACGTCTTGAGTGTGCCCCTCCAGTCCCGCTCTGTCCCGCACCATTCCAAACCCCAAATAGGGTCAGCACCAGGCAAAGCGGAAAGCTGACTGACACGTGGGCCACTCGTGTGCGGAATGGGTGAAGGTCCTCTAGGGCGTAATCGTCCTCCTTGTCGGGGGTTGGGCGGTTCAGTTCCTCGAGCTGCATGTTTGCGGGCTTTCAGTTCACTTCGCATCTCCCGAATGCGCCGGGCGGCCAACCGACTAGCAAGAAGGGCAACCACAACGACAAGCCGCAGTGCTGACGGCGTGCACGCCTCCTCGTTCCTCTTTACTTCGCCGGTTTCAAAAGGACTCGAAATCCCAAGCAGAAGCTGGAGGGCTAGGCCACGTCCCTGCAGAGCTGTGACAACGAACTGGCTTAATCTGCCGTGCCGATGCCTTAAATGTTCTTTGAACGTTCACATGCTGCGTGTATCTCTGCATTGGAGATGAAAGCCGGACGTGATGCTGAAACTTTGTTTACACTAGCCATTACTCACTGCAGTACTCCTAGAGGGGCAAAGATACGAGAACAAGCCACGGACGAGCACCTCGTCAGGACTTGCTTGGTGCTTCGGGCATGCCACCGGCCCTTCAGCGGCTGCTGGGTGAGGATGCCGACTTTGAACTCGAAGCACTCAAGGAGAGACATCATGGGCCGGGCCGGGACGTCCAAGTGAGTCCCGCGCGTTTTCTTCGTGAGGATGTTCTTGGGTCGCCTGGCTCCTTCCCGCCACAGTTTCTCCAAGGGGGTCCTGACCCTGGAAGGCTGCAGGCGACCAAGTCCAAAGAAGTGCGGCATAGAGCAAAGCATAGAGCTTGCACGCCACATGAGCAGGACTTCTCGGACATGTCTCTGCAAAGACTGCTGGGAGGGGCAGGCCCACCAAGCCTCGAAGAGCTGCAGGCGGCGTCTTATTAGCACCGTGCATGCGAGAGCCGAGCCGCCGGGATCGCTCACATGTCGGTAAGGCCATGTTGCACATTTACCTGCTGGCTGTGGCTCAGTGGCGGACATGCATCTCCGCATGTTTCGTAACTATAGACGGCAATGACAAGAACTCCACATTGCTTTGTCTTTCGTCATCAAGTCACGACTCGGCCCAGAGCTTCACTTGTCGAAAGCCATGGCTCCGAGTGTGAGTGATCCCGTCGATAGCCACTTGCGCAGGCTCCGTTTGTCGGAAAACCCGGCCTACCTTGAACTGGTGAATGCCCCCTGGCCAGGCAACTCCTGACCGCAGAAGGCTTTGAGTCGCTGCGTGCTGAGCTGGCAGAGTTCCATCACCGGATGAAGGCTTCGAGCGGGGACGGCTGTAAGTATTCCCGTGCTGGCTGTCATTTCGGATGTCCCGTCGATGGCAGGTCAAACTGGATGGTCTTCAAAGCACCCTTTCCACACAAGAAGGCGGTACAGAGCCAGCTACAGAGATCGAGGAAGATGTTCCTGCCCCCAAGCGAAAAAGCGGGATGTGCAGATGGTCTTGATACAGATGCCGTCCAGGGCACAGCAAGCACCATGATGCTGTCGAGACGCGGAAGATTGCAGCTGTTACAGTAGGAGTCACAAGTAGGAACACTCTACATGGGAAAGCTAAACAAGAAAAGATGCCTGCGAAATCATCGGCATGATGCCCTGAGTTCGTCCGGTGTCCAAGGTATCCGAGCCGA